AGAAGCCGGCGTTCCCTGCTCGGCAACGGGAGGGTCGGCGATAGGAATATCCGACCTCGCCTGTAAAAAATAGCACCATGTCAAAAAAGGAAAAGGACAACATACGGGGAATCACAAAAAGCAGGGTACACTACCTACCTCAGCAGCGTGGGCAGCCTGCTCAGCAGCCTGAGTCGTCGCCTCGGCAGCCTCTCCTACCTACGGAAGATAGCCTTAGGTCAGAAAATAGAAAAAGCACAATAGAAGACAACAAAAAGCCGAAGAGACAAGGCACTCACCAACACGACAGGTTGAACAAACTGCTCAGCAGCTTGAGCTATCCCCTCAACGGCCACCTGAGGAGCCCCCATGGGCGGCGGACTCTCAGTAAGGTCCACCGCGCCAGCGTCGGCAGCTTTGGAGGTCACCTCCTCGGCATCCGGAGGGGCGGAGGTCCCCCCAACCTCCTTCGTTCCCCTCTTTCTTTTTCGGTTAACCCTCAGAGGGGAATCATCCTCCTCTTGGGGCTTGGGGACCTCGAGCTCGGTGACGTGGTAGCGATGCTTAAGCTCGCGCCACAAGTTCTTCCCCATTATACCTACAGATAAGAAACAAAACACATCAACAAAAGTAAGCTACACAAATTCCAAGCCACCAAAAAACGAAATACTCACTCTCCAAGCCCCTCTCTCTGTACGCCGAGTTCGCAAGCGACAAAACGAGCCTGCAATCCAACGGACGAGAAAGCGCGGCGAGGTTCTCGATGGTAGCCGCCTCCGAAGCCGTCAGCTTCACTTGGCCCACCCCATGAAACCTAGAAGGTCGGGGGCACCAATAGAAGGGAAATCTCGGCAACCCCCCGAAATAAAACGCCCCATCTTCCAAGGGGTCAACGTTCACAAGAGCGACTCGAAAAAACTCTTGTTTGAAATTTTTGTACGACTGGGAGTAGAGAGTAAACAAACCCCCATCCCTACTCCCACTCAGAGATAATATGCCGTACGGCGGAACGCCTACCTTCAACTGATAAAAATGAAGGAAGACGGGAAGAGACACCTCTATCCCCAAAACTGTATACAGGACTTGAAAAGCCCTCAAAAAACCCCAACTATTGGGGTGCAACTAGCAAGGAGCCGAGTTGACGAAGTTCAAAATGTCACACTCAAACTGAGTAAAGGGAAGACAGACACCTAAATCTCTAAAAAAACAATTATTTTTAGTTCTAATTATTAAGTGATAATTTTAAGTACTTATTTATTAAAAGATTAAATTATCATATAATGTGTTACTCACAATTAATTTCATTTAAAAATATTCTAACATGTTTTTGAGGGACAAGAAGTGAAAATTAAAAAAAAATTAAAACAGAATGAAATAAGGATTAAAAACACAATTAACTCTAGTATATTTGACTTATTGATTAAATTTTTTAAAAATTATAAAACAATTCATATCATTATATATTAATAATATATTTTAATTATTTTTTAATACTTAATAATCTATAGTTGTAAAAAAAAAATACTTATAATCTATTGAAATTTAAAAAAATGATAAAAAAAAATTATGAATCTTATTTATTATTTAATGGTTTTTATCTTCTAATTTTATGTTGTAAATATAGGTTTGAGAGTGTATTGAATCCGATCTACTAAAGTCTGGATAGCGTGCCGTGGAGCTCTACAAGACTACAACAGCACTCAGTTGCGCCTGTGACTTCTTTTTCCTTTTTCATAATTATAATAAATTTTTACGCTACTTTTGTCTGGACTTGGATAAATTATAATATGACTAATTTGACTGTATCATCAGTTTCCTTTGCAAACATAATTACTGTATTGTTGTAATATTTGATTTCTTTATTTTATGGAATGGATCAAAATTGAAAGTTGATTTTTCCTAGACGCGGTAGCGAAAGTTCTTCCTTTCAACTCTGAGTTGGTAATGGTTTCGTGAATCTTGTTCAGAGTGCATCCATGCCTTCGGAGAAGACTTGCTGGATTCTTTTCTTTTCTGTTGTTATTTTTCTTCTCCGTCATGCTCCTTCTGTTATAGCTGGGGACATAGTTCACGACGATGATTCAACTCCCAAGAAACCCGGTTGCGAGAACCAGTTCGTTCTGGTATACCCACTTTATAAAGTTCACTTCTTTTTCCCTTTCCATTTCTGGGTTTCTTGCTTTTTTTCTCATACTAGAAGCATGCTCATCAAAATTGTGTTGTCTTACTTGTCCAGAATTAAAAATTTGAGATCAAAGTTTAGTTCTCGATTAAGTAATAAGTATCAAGTTCAATTCAAGTGGTGATTAACTCATTATATTTGTCAGGTAAAAGTGCAAACTTGGGTCAATGGTGTAGAGGATGTTGAATTTGTTGGTGTCGGTGCAAGATTTGGCAGAGCGATTGTGTCTAAAGAGAGAAATGCACGGCACACGCGCCTTGTTCTTTCAGATCCTCGTGATTGTTGCAATCCACCAAAGAATAAGGTTCTTTCTTCATATGTGACATGTTGTAGTGTAATTTGCTCACGAGTGTAGCAACTAGCTAACTAAGTACTAAATGTTGGTAGTACAATTGTGTTATGAAAACTGTCAGATTGTGGGAGATGTCATCATGGTGGATCGAGGCAACTGCACATTCACAAAAAAGGCAAATATTGCACAGAATGCTAATGCTTCAGCCATCCTCATTATAAATAACCAAAAAGGTATAAAAATTAGTAAAATCTTCTTTCTTTTTAATCTTTTTTTTTTTTTTTTTTGGTGTGTTAAGGGGTTCTTTACTTTGGTAGTTGGACTTGGATGAGTTGCTATGCTGTTGTGTTGACTGTTGAGTGGGTCATATCTAGTACGTACACTTTTATTTTTCTTTTCATATCAAATTTGTTTTTGTTGTTTGCAGAACTTTACAAGATGGTTTGTGAACCTGATGAAACTGATTTGAACATACACATACCGGCTGTCATGCTTCCGCTAGATGCAGGTACAAGGCTGGAAAAAATGCTGACGAGTACTTCATCTGGTGAGCTTCGTTGTGCATGTTTTGTGGACTTGTAATAGTTTCTATTTAATGCAGTTAGCCAAGTGGTTGTCACAACATCTTTAATGCTTATGTGCAGATTCTTTAATTGTAATGTAAGTACTGTTTTGTTATTCCTAAAGAGGAGGGGAGCATTCTGAAATATTTTGCCTTTTTGCAGTGTCTGTGCAGCTATACTCACCACTTCGACCAGCTGTTGACATAGCTGAAGTATTTCTTTGGATGATGGCAGTTCTTACTATATTGTGTGCATCATATTGGTCTGCTTGGACTGCCAGAGAAGCAGCTATTGAACAGGATAAGCTACTAAAGGTTTGTTTTTCCTATTCTTTTGGTATTTCCACAAGTTTGATTCTCATTTATTTTCTTAATATGTTGTTGATCCTAATACTCACTGTCAATTATTTTTTTATAGGATGCTTCAGATGATATCCCAAACACAAAATATGCTGGTGTTAGTGGAGTTGTAAATATGAATGTGAAAGCTGCAGTCCTTTTTGTTGTATTTGCTTCATGTTTCCTGTTTATGCTTTACAAACTGATGTCGTCATGGTTCATTGACGTTTTGGTTGTTCTCTTCTGTATTGGTGGAATTGAGGTATTAACTTCCACTAAATTAGTCTAAAATTCCCTGTTTTTGCTCTGAGCAAGGAAAAACAATATCTACTTGCACATTATGTCTATGCTGAAAAAGGAAGGCAACAGATTACCATCTATGATATTGCATGAGTGCACATTATAAAAACTATTTGTTGTCATTGCCAAATTCAAATTTTGGGTCTCTCCTGCTATTGCCATGTTATCCTCTGCAAAGTCATTAGTAAACAATTTTTTCTTGTATCTGCAGGGCTTGCAAACTTGCCTGGTTGCTCTTTTGTCCAGGTGCGGTGTATAACTTTAATGAATGTCATCAAGAAATTTTGGTCTTCGTATCCCTCTATTAAGATTGCCATTTATTATTTTTTTTTTTAAATTCACGTTTTATTATTTAGAAGCTCAAATTGGATCCCGGGAGTGTTGACATATTTTATGACAAAATAATAAACCATGTGAGAATTTGGATGGTTGCCTTTCTTACATGATCAGCTTGATACCTTAAGCATTAAATAAAATATATTGCCTTATTGTTTAAATGCATATTTCATTGATTTTTTTCAAATCTTAGACTAGAAATTCATAAATTCTATAATATGAGCCTGATA